CAGCCCCGGGCCGGTGAAGCCGCGGGAGCTCGCACGGGGCGGGGCCTGGGGCTCCTGCAGTGCTCCCGCCTCCTCCGGCAGCGCTGGTCGCTGCGCTGAGCGCCCGAGCGAGCCCGGCCCCGAGCACCAGGAAGCGCTGGGCCGCCTGAAGCACGGGGGGTGGGGCATAGTTGTCAGGTCCGAAATAGGAAATAATCCTCTTGGAAGCTCAAAATGATGATATCGGAAGCTCAACGCGGTCGTATTTCCTGAAAAGCTACGTGCATAAGCATGCCGCTAAGTATGCAAATAAGTCTTCTTGTGGACTTGCTCTTGCTCACCCTAACTCTCAGTGAGCGAGCGAGCGAGCGAGCACGGGGTCGTCACAGATGAACCAGGTCTTTGGAGGCAAGCAGTCTGAAGAAGGTCCCGATAGCAAACCCAGAAGTCTTGCCTGGCAGAGGAAGCACCGCGCGTCTGAAGGCAGTTTTCCGTAAGCGTTCCCGGGGATAACTTCATCTGGTGCGGTTTAGTACCCGCTGAGGTGTTGGGGCTTCAAGCCCACAGTGTGGAAATGGGAGGCTCCGCCCTAGCTTGCTCCTGGGCCATATGGCTGAGGGCAGGTGAAACTTGGGGGCATCCGAACCACAAACCTCCAGGCTTGGGCCTGCACATAGGATGCTTGCCAAAAGACTTGGGAAATACCCTGAACCCCTGGAGGGGGTGGAGGATGTTTGCCACTTGTGGGGTCACTTATGATTCTGGACTGACTCACAGATTTGGACTTGATTTGGCTGATTTGGCTTGGAACATGACAAATGAATTTAAACAAAACAACACAAAACAACCCCCACCTCCCAAAAATCAGTTCAGGCTCCCTGTGAGTGACTTGGGTTGTTTTGGGGTTTTTTGCATGTGCAACATCAGTTAGCTGCCTCAAAAATTATTGTATGTTTTGAACACTTTTACTGTTATTGATCGTACATTGCACAGGGGTTGAAATGATGGTACAAATATTATCACTATCATGTACCTGGAGACACGGGTGCTCAGCTTGGCCCCAGGTGGGGTCGGCCTGACTGACCTGTGGGGTGGTGGGGTCACCATGAAGTGCTGTTGTGCCAGAAGCAATCGGAGATGCACTAGCCTTCAGGACCATCGGAAGCATCACCTGCCATTCCCATCCCATTCCCTGGCGTAGCTTTTATGACCCCCATATACTTCCCTGGCATGGGAAATACTCTGACCGAGGTAATGCAATTAAAATGGCACTGTGTAGTGGAGGGTGCACCCTTGTCTGCTTGGGGACAGGACTCCCTACAAGAGCTTCATAGTTAACTTCCCAGTCACCAGCTTCCAGCAAGAGAATCTCAGCTACACTCCAACTTTATGGAAATGGGAGATTCCTCCCTAGCCTGCTCCTGCAGCTGAGCACAACCTGGGGGCATCCGAACCCTAAGCCTCGGGGCTTCGGCTTGCACATAGGATGCTTGCCAAAATATTTGGAAGTATCTGAAGCTCCAGGCTGAAGGGTCTGGAGTCAAGGATACTTGCTGGTAGTAGGGGCACATACGGTTCTTGAAGGATTCAAAGGATTTGGAACTTATCTGGCTAATTTGACCAGGGACACAAAAAAAAATTATTAAAAAAAAAAAGAAAAAAAGCTTTTATGACCCCCAGTTGGTGAACTGCTTCCTTTTTCCTCTCTCCTCCCCACCTGGCCTCTCCCAGCAGTGCTCCCATCCTGTCTCCTTCCCCCATCCCTACCCTGCATATAATAATCACAGCTTTCTATTCAGCAGCTCTGCCTCCTGCCTTCTCTCACATCTTCAGGCAAGTT